TGTAACTATCACTTGGCATGGATTAGTTATTACGGTTCATGCTGATCTGAACTTACTGGCAGCAGAACTGAGCTCAGGTTCTATGGTTTGTTCCATGTGGCAGAATAGTGCCTAAATGTCATTCCTCTTTTCATGAAAATGTTGCTGGAATCGAAGATATTTTCCCCCATGATTTCTTATTTGGAAGATAGTAACTAATAGGCATTATCACTGATGTTTTTACAAGGTACAGGAATGCTCTTTAGTATATAGACTTTGTTGATAGCTAAAGCATAAAGCTCCATCAGTGAAGATGAGAGTTTCAGGCTGGACAGAATGGCCAAGTTATTTTGCTTTTCATTTATTCAGCAACCTGCTTAATGTCTACTGTTTGTGATGCAGTGCCAGACATTGCTTATTAACAAACGAACAAAAAATTGTTCTTCAAGTACTTAGTCCAGTGGTGAATGTACATAGACAGACAGATTGTAAGGTACTGCCTCATTTCCTGTTCTCTCAGTTTCCTACCTTAATCCATAACACCTTCTGGTAGTCTGGGCTAGGACAGAGACTATCATAGAGACATGTATACACTCTTACTAGAGCCCAGTAAGAAGGTATGTCTTGGAATATTGATAATTTGCGAACAGTTCTAATGGTGATATTTGAGCAGATTCTTGAAGTTTGCCAGGTTGAAAGTGGAAGAAAAGGAACATTTTTAATAGAATTCTCCTGGATGATCTAATTTATTTTAGCTAGGAACTTGTACAGTCAAGAAAATAGAGGAGTAACTTCCACTAAACTTTTCAACTCAAGCATCATGTCTTCAGTGAATCTTAGGCAGGTGTTTGGTGCAGCACCTCCATGATTAAAGGCTCTCAGATACCTACACTCTCCATAATCTGGCTTGTGGTCAGCACCCAGGAGATGTTGGATGGATTGGTGGACTAAAAGGAAGGAAAAAGAGAGCACTATGTCACTTAGCTCCCTAAGTGTGAGTGAGCTAGAACTGTTCTTCTGTTAAAAAAAACTTGGAAATGGGCTTATGTCTTCAGCCACATAGAACGACGATTCATTTTTATACAGTAGCAAAGGGGACCTGAAGATACAACCGGTATTATTCTCAGAAAATAACTTGGGTCCTTATGATTACCTGTACAAACATTTAGCTTGTCTGTGCAGCCAAGTGAATGAGTTTATGATATAGAAGCGTATGGATAGCTATTAAGCCAATCACAAAATCTCTGGACTGTACTTAGGCCTTTGTGAACAGCCTGATTGTCGATGGAGCTGCCTCCTCACAGGCCCTGTAGAATTATTAAGCTGTAGATGTATGCCTGAGCAGCTCAGAAGCTTGAAATATGGAAGGGTTATTTTGATGCTTGGTGAATGATTATCAAGTGCAGGTTTTGTTTTGATGTATTGATCTTGAACCTTTATTTTTTAGAGGTTTTTTGGCATAGGTTGTGTGCACTTGCCAGAGACAGACAGTGAGAGGGAAAGTGAACATTTACCTACTAGGGGGAATGGACAGGCCAAAATCTCTTCTTCATTCTCTTCCTGGGATTTTGGGCACACAAGCACACATGGTGTGGTTTTCAAGCCATCAAGCCTGGGACTTGAACTGCAGTTGGCCATATGGGAGTCCAGTGACATAATCAGTACACCACTTGCTGGCTCTGAACTACTACTTCTTGACAATAGTCGTCATTGTACTCAGGAAGATTTCTTCAGATTCTTTTTATTCAGAGATGCAGATCTTTCTTCTGACCTTCAGAATCAGGTGTCTACCTACCTGCTTGGTGGTTCTCTTGCTTGAGAACAGACTAAAATAGACCACAGCTATTTAAGACCTTAGCAGGGTCATTTAAGACTCTTATTCTTACTGTCACCTCTGGATACATACTGCTTTTTGCTCTGTACTCCTTTCACTGAGTGGATTCCTGTTCACCTAGAGATTTAAGCTGGAAATAAGGTAATAATTCTTGACACCCTTCTTAGCCTTTAACTCTAACCAGTCAGTTTCACTGACTACTTCTGACACCTCTCCCCTTATCTTCATTCTATGTGTTATCAGCCTCATCCCAGCTCCCATCATTCACTTGAAATTCTACCCTACCCACTCCTTGGCCTCCCTGTCTCCAGTTTTCCTATTTCTAATCAGTTCTCCACGTAGCACCTACAGTGATCTTTGTAAAATAACTTGATGATGTTATTTCCTGGCTTAAAAGCTTTCAATGTTTTCCCATTTTACTTGGGATAAAATAAAAAATACTGATCTTGGCCTACATACTGTGGTTTCAGCTCACCTTCCAACTTCCTCTGTCCCTTGTCACTTCTCTTATACGTTCTTCCCAGCCATGCTCGCTTGCTCTCAGGTCTTTGAAGTTCTGAGCTCTCTCCTATCTTGGAACCTCCCCTCTGTTTCCTTTGCTCTGCATGTATTTGTTCCTCACTTGGCTGACTCTCATTTTTTAGGAACAGTAGCCTCTACATTTTCCCTCAGAGTCTTTCTAGATTGTCTAATCAAAAGCTATCCTCCGATAAGCTCTCTTGAGAGTTAGAAGAGTTTGAAAAGCTTTGTTTGTCTCATATGTTTCTCCTCATCATAATGTGGTGCTCCTTGGGACCATATCTGTTTGTGCCAGCCAGCATGTTGCACCATGCATGCCCCAGGGTGGTGTTTATAAATGTTTGGTGAATGAAAGGTTGTTTAACATAAGTTAGCCTTGAAGCAGCATCTTGCTTTGTAGTAACAGCAGGGCCTGCATCTGATTCCCACAGCCACTGCTGGCCTGCTGCTCCTATAGCAGTGCTCATATGATGTTAATAGAAGGTCATAAGTTATATGCCATTTTACTGTACTGAAAAAAAGCATGGTGGCCTTGCCCCTTCAGAATTTGTCCTTGTGAGTCTAACAGACCAGTTTAGGTTCTGTTCTTGTTTCTATAAAGCTATGCGACCTTGACAAGTTAACTAAGTTCTCCCAGGTCTGCTTCTGCTTATATAGTGAAGGGGGCTATTATAGCTCTTCCGCATGCTTATTATGAAGATTAAATGAGATTACATATGCAAAGCATATCACCCTTCTCCTCTATTCTCCTCTCAGGATTTTGGGCATGCATGCACATGCACCTGGCATGTTCCCCAAGCTGCCAGGTTCAGGACTTAACTGTGCAGTTGGGCATGTGGACTCCACCTGCCTTACCCGTCATGCCCACCTGGCTAGCTCCATTCTTTTTTCTTATATCCTTTATATTTTAATAGATTACTAAAGACTCAGGGGGAAAACATCTCTTAACTTGAACTTTCCTCATAATCCTACTGTTTTAAATACATAGTCATATCCTGGTACACTAGCATGAGGATCAAAACCAGTCTAAGAAAGAGTTCATCTCTAGGGTATAGTAAGCAGTGATAATTTCACAGTTATTTAATGGTCAATAGTAAATAACACTGGCCTGCCTCAGAAAGACACATATGGAATTCTCCTCTGTCTAATACTAGAGGTTGTTATTTAACATTGTTAAATTGCGGTGGCTAATAAATGTAAGTAGATTTTTGCTATAGGGTGGGTATGCTCACCGGAGAGACAGAAGTAGATATATTCTATTTTAGTTCAAGTAGGTATTCCATGGAGACAGACCATATGAAAACATTTTTCTTGTTTTAGATATTTTAATGTCTTTGAACCTTTTGGCAGTATCGCTGAAAACTCTGGAGTCCAAAGCTCTTTAAATTATGTTGTCAGCTCTGAGAATAATTAAAAGTCAGACATTCTGAAGACAGGTTATTACTTTGGAATTACTCCTAAATTCAAATTACAGGTAATATTGGTTATGGATATATTTAAGATGTACTGGTCTGGATGTTAGATTGCATTTAAGGGAAAGTAATCTATCATAAAAGGTTGATTCTCTGCCATTAAGTCAAAATAGCTTATATACTCTTGTCTTTGTTAAATGTGTTTCATTCTCTGACATGAGACAGTAACTATGTTGGGGACAATGTTGATCTGTTAGCCAAGTCCTTCTGAGAGCTAGAGGCTTGAGGATTAGACATCTACTTGAATATTGACCTAGACAGGGAACTACAATTGTTTATTTAGGGATGGTTCTGATTTGGAGTGTTGATGCCAGGGGATGGACAAAACAATTACTAAACCTAACACACTAATTGACGACTTGGCTCAGTTGTTTAGGGCATGGGAACTTTGGAGAGGCCCAGGGAACAGAGGTGACTGCTTCTAGGTTCTCATACTCTGCTGTGTTCTGTTTCCAAAGATCTCACTTCTGACCCAAATTAAGTATCTTCATAATGTTGGGTATGATTGGTTACTTGAGACTTTACATTCATAATAGGTGAATGTACGTGGGCAGATCTATAACCAGCACTACAGAAGGTGTGTTGTGTTATCAGATCTGGACATCTTGTTTATTAGCTCATGGTCAAGTTCTCATCACAGACCAACCTCACCTCCAATATAGCAAAACCAATGAGTATGATGGTAAACATGAACATATGTCCTGAAGGATTGTCATCATCTCACAGAGGGCACAAAAAAAACCACATTACATTATTGTCATATTTTGGTTTTTGCTTTTTCAGATTTTTTTTCTTGGTTCATGGTTGTTTATCAAAGCAAGTTAAAGGTGATACTATTTGTAAGTGATTCTGGTTATTGAGTTTTATCTTGGTGTTTTCTGTTTTAGGTGGGGCTACACTGCTTTTAAAAGAGTTGCTTTGATACCTTCTGAATAACCACTTCTGGTCTTTTTGCTGAAATGAATATCTGATTATTCAAGCAGTCAGTCCCATGTCCCAAGATAGTCCCTTGGGGGTGCCCTCCTCCCATTAAACCAATTTGATGTTGGAATGACCTCCGCACAATGTTTTGTGTCATGCAGGTACTAGAAATTGAAGAGGAGTCACAAAAGAACCGCAGTAGTAGTCGGTCTGCCATGACCTACCCATTAGCAGCTAGCTGTGGAAGGTGACAGATCTTTTTTTTCTTCTTACAGAATGCCATGAACCTACCTCCTGACAAAGCCAGGTTACTGCGGCAGTATGACAATGAGAAAAAATGGGAGCTGATTTGTGATCAGGTAAGAAACAGTGACGTTTTTATCAAGAAAGTAATGAAAAAGGCTCAGATTTGTCCCTTATATATGTTTGACTTTTTCTAGGAAATGCATGGATTTCTGTTCTGTGACATTTTGCCTTTTTTTTTTTTTTAAACCACAGGAAAAGCTGGAAAATGACTGCTTTTATTATTTCATTATTTTAGTTCTTTCTTTTATTTTCAAACATTTTGCAGTTAGGTTTTTGTAAATTCAGGTCAAGTGGACAAATCGAATCCATCTGTGTCTCTGCTTACCTTACAAAGCGGCCTGTGCTGCTTGAGCAATGCAGGTCCTCGGACTTACTGGCTTTCTTTTTCATGTAAGTTAATGCACGTTCTTGCAAGAAGGCGAATTTATAAAGAAACAGTGCTTAAACTAATAAAACTATTTCAGATTTTAGTTGTTCTCTAGCTGTGTACAATTAATTCATAACAAATTCAGACATTTAGGAGATACATGAAATAAAAAGTGAAATTCTCCACTTTCCTTCTCTCTACTCTCCAAATCCTACACTGTGGAAGTAGAGAGAAGTATTGAAAAGATTGTGAAGTATCTCCTAAGAACATTTCTTTCTGTTAATGTTTAAAAAAAAAAGTATGGTTGAGGCCAGCGGGTGGTGTGGTGGTTGAAGTGCTAGACTCACACATGACCCCCTCCCCCCATGGTTTGAATCCCAGACCTGGTGGTTTGTTTCCTCACATACTTCCCCCCCGACACATGTAATTAAAAATAATAATGATAATACTAGTAAATATAAAAAATAATCATTTTTTTAAAAGTACATTCCACACATATCACATACTCTACTGCATATTGGTGCAGTTGCCCAATACGTGTGCTTCTCCCTCATTCTTTTAAATGGCATGTGGTATTCCACTGTAATTGGCAGTCAGTCTTGGTACTTTTGCAGGAATAGACACAAGCTGGTTGTTGTAAACTTCTCCGTGGTTGTGTACCTGTCCCTACCTCATTTCTGTCACGCTGAAAGTTTCTGGGGGCGTTTCAATTCCTCCTGTCACCACTTTCTTGGGTGTCACTGTGGGGACAACATGTCAGGGAGCACAGAGGTTTTTCTGTATTCCCCCATATGTGATGGTGCCTGATCCCTAAGAAATAGGTGATCCCCGCTGTTCACAGAAAGCTTCTGAAATACTCGTCATATGTTATTTTACCTTTTTTTGCTAAACTAGAACAGTACTGGTGTGGTGGTAAAATCACCTTTTTTCCATGCTGTATGTGAGTACCAAAGATAGATAGAAGCTGAAGAGAAAGGTTACTGCTTATATGATTATGTTTCAAAAGAAAAAAAAAAGTGCCGGCACTTATTCCGCTTGAAACTTAATTAAAAAAAATAAAAAGAAAGAAAAAAACTCCAGGCTTTTGCTATAGGGCATGTGCACTCACCAGAGAGAGAGAAAGAAAAAGAGAGAGAGAGAAAGTGGGAAATCATCCCCCCAGGGGTCTATGCATGTCCCCCAACCCAGTGACTTAAAGCTCATGCCAGGGGTATGTGCATGCGTGCCCAAAATCCTGAGAGGAAAATGGAGGAGAAGGGATTACAGCACGGCCATGCCCCCCTGGAGGGTGATTTCCCACTTTCTCTCTCAGGCTGATCCGGCCATGGACTTCAGTCGCAGCTGCCATATGGGATCTGGCTTCTCTTGAGCAGAGCTGTGACTGCTGTACCATGGAGTTGGCCTCTTAGCCATCAGTAAGTGTAAAAATCCAGTGGAATTAATTACATTCACATTGAAGATAACTTTTTTTTTAATTTCTAAAGTTTTTATTTACTTCTTCCATGAGCAAGATACACACACACACACACACACACACACACACACACACACCACTTCCAACAAAGTCTCAACACTACAGTCCACCCATAGCCTTCAGCCATCCCTGGATCATGGGTAAATGGATGCCCAGTGCACCTAGGGAGGTCCCTAGACTTGAACTGGAGCCCTAGCTGATAGGTATAAATTCCATAAATTCCATCCCCAATATAATTAAGATCAAACCCCAAAGAGCTGGCTATAGTAACACTATTCTGACAGTACCCCTTAGTCCTTTTCTAGATCGTTGTATGCATATAAAGACAACCCGAGCATCTGATGGATCTTGAAGGCTGAAGTACCACGGGAGAACCTGACGCTGTTGGGAGCGGGGCTATACAAGGCACAAGAGAAGGGCTCTGCTGGACTTGGAGTGGTGTGAGATGCATCTCAGAGTACCTATTTCTGTGCAGTAGTGAATAGGCAGGGCTCCCATGAGAACATCACCTCAAGGATTCCTCCTGGCCACGAGGCCAATGTTGCAGTCGTTTAAGATCACAGTGTGAGAGTAGAAAGCTGGAGGTGTTGCATTCCCTTGGTAGCTGCACGTAGAACACCCCCTAAGCCACCTGGGAATACAAGGGCTCTGGTCTTGGAAGAACAATGGAAAAAGAGCTAGCCTCTTGCTGGCTTGTCCCTCAGTGTTGGTACAGATGCGATGCTAGAACTTTTTTGTCTTGGGACCTCAGATGTTTATTAGAATTGCATAGCTCTGAGCACTGTGGGGAATGCTGTGTGTAGGGGGCTTTGGAGATCCTCGATGCACTTAGGCTTTCAGAACATTATATCTACAGAAATTGTTAGAGACCATTTATTCCAAGCTAGACTGCTTTTATTTTTTTCTATTGGAAAAGTTAGCACATGCGTATTAAGAAATAAATAAATAAATAAATAAATAAATAAGATGATCTTAATTAGAACTTATAAAGTAATGTGAAAGTCCTACTGCTTTTCTCACCCATTCCCCAACCCTCTTATATAGATCATAAAACAGAGATTCACAGAGCATAAGTATCTAAGCCAAGGCCACTCAGATAGTGAGACAGAAGCAACTATTTCCAAACCTCAGTTACAAGCCCTTCCAGTAGTTCTCTGTTATACCAGGGATGTGGAAACAGCCCATTGAACCAACAGTTGAGGTAGGTGGGGGACTGTCACCAAAGTTTTGTGCTGTGGCATCTCAGGTGATTTGGGGTGGGGTGGCGCTATAACACTTACAGGTGGTGGGGTGCTTGGTTCATGACCCTGCTTCTGCTGGATGATCACGGGGAGTGGCTAGTCAAAGAATTCAGGACATTTGAGAGGACTAAGGCCTCTGGGTGTGGATTCCATGAATGTATAATCCAGTCCAGAAACTGTCAGATGGTCACACCCAAGCCCAGCTAGGAAGCTTCCCTCTGGGGTTTGCTGGTACTGATGGCTTGATTTGTTGTTCTCTGGGCTGATTTGACATGGCTCGACTCTGCCTCCTAATGGCCAGCTGTTGCTTGTGTTGTAGCCCTAAGGAAGGGGAGACGGCAGGGTGAGAGATGGGAGTCATCCCTTTATTCACTTATACAGAGTGATACAGAAAGAGATTTAAAAGAAAAAAAAGATGGGAAGGAAGAGGTGATAGGAAACTGTACCCTCTTAGACTCAGCTTCCTGTGTTAAGCGCTTCAGGGAGATCAGATTGCAGCCCTCAAGGATTGCCATGGATCGTGATCCAGGGAGTGGAAGGCCCTGGCGGGCACTCAGCTGGAGCTGAGTCAGGCCTGGGCACTAAGATACTCCATCTCATGACGATCACTTCAAAGGTACTGGCACTCTAAGATATCCGTTACAGTGAGAGTTGCTTTCTTGTCCTTCCAACACAACTGACCCATTTCATTTGAATATACTAATATTGAATCACTATGAAAGGGTTTTTAAAAACCTTTTATTTCTTTCCTTATACTATTTCTTTGAAAAGAAAAAAAGTTGTTTGTTGAATAAATTAAGTAATTTGTCACTGGAATCAAATATACTTTAAAAAAAAAGGAAATATGGAGTTGTTGGGAAAGGCATGACACAGTTTTGCATAGAAAAATGTAGACAGAGATTGGCAGATGGCATATGGGTTACATCGCTGGACTCCCACGCAGTTGACTGCAGTCCCGAACCCAGCAGCTTAAAACTCATGCTAGGCGCATGTGCATGTGTGCCCAAAATCTTGGGAGGAGAATGGAGGAGAAGAGATTGCGGCGTGGCCATCCCCCCTAGGGGGTGATTTCTCACTTTCTGTCTCTCTCTCTCTGGCAAGCGCTCACACCCTATAGCAAAACAAACAAACAAACTCTAAACAGAAAAATATGACATGACCATGACTTTTCCGCTTACCTAATATATTTCTGTGTGTGTGTGTGTGTGTGTGTGTGTGTGTGTGTATGTGCGTGCACATGTGTGTTTAAATGTTCATGGTTTCGGGAGCCAGTTAGACCTCTTCTCTGCCAAGTAAGCACACACTATTGGATACTGACAAGTTGTTTCCTGTGGAACATCAGTGGGTTCTAGCTGATGAAGACTTGTCTCTGGAGCACCAAGAGAAGTGCACGTGGACTTCCGTTGGTGACTGCTGTGTTGGAGTCATCTGAGCAGTAAGCATAGGGGCAGGTGCTGAAGGAAAAGGCATGATGCCAGCAATGGCCTTCTCCTTCCCCTTGCTCCCAGGCTCCAGACTTAATCTGCCTTTAGCCCCTTTCTTTAAGGTCCAGGCTTTGAATCCGCCTTTAGCCACAGTTTTGACTTCTACCTGCCAGCTGTTGGGATAGCAGATAGCCATCTCCCCTGCCTTTCTCCAGCCCTCTGCCTATCTGGCATTTTTGCTGTATTTAATATTATTGTTCAATGTCAAGCTGTTTACATTTTTACTGTTTCTATAATTCTGTGATATGTTTGAATGCTACATTTAAAAATCATTGCTAAGTTTTTGGGATCTGTTTAGTTCTTTTCAAATTCTGTCTTTCAACTTTTAGTGTTTTGTTTTTAACATTTTGATATCTAGTCTTCTCTCTCTTTGTAATTCTTATTTTGATTACATGTCAGTCAGACTTTTTTTTTGGTTTGGTATTTTGTTTTCTAGTTTATTCTGTTTTTTTTTTTTTAAAGAATTATTTAATTTTATTTGATATTA